CTATCCCAGCTCTTCTGATCACACCTTCTAACGCGATGTTGAATAGCAGACACGAAAGTCCACCACCTTGCCGTAACCCCCTTCAAGATTCAAAGGGACTCGAGAGTGTCCCCGATAATCGAACAACGCACATCACTCGATTCATCGTCGCCTTGACCAATCGCGTCAGTTTATCCGGAAATCCGTACTCGTGCATAATCTGCCATAGCTGATCTTGATCGATTGTGTCGTACGCGGATTTGAAATCGATGAACAAATGATGCGTGGGCACGTTGTATTCGCGGCATTTCTGCAGAACCTGCCGAATTGCAAAAATTTGGTCCGTGGTAGCGCGGGAACCCTTGAATCCCGCCTGGTATTGCCCCACGAACTCTCTTGCAAATGGTGACAGGCGGCGGCATAGAGTTTGGGAGAGTACCTTGTAGGCGGCGCTCAGCAGTGTGATCGCGCGGTAGTTGTAGCAATCCAACTTGTCACCCTTTTTGTAGATTGGGCATACGACACCTTCCATCCACTCCTCCGGTAATATATCCTCCTTCCAAAATCTTGGCAATTACCCAGTGCAGCGCTCTAACCATTGCTTCACCACCATATTTTAATTGCTCACTTGGTAGTTGATCTACACCAGTTGCTTTGTTGTTCTTCAGCCGACCGATCTCCTCCTCCACTTCTTGAAGATCAGGGGCCGGTAGCCTGTCGTCTTCTGCGCGTGCTCCAAGGTCTGTTGCCGTGCCACCTTCGTTTTCTGCTGCATCACCGTTGAGGTGCTCGTCATAGTACTGCTTCCACCTCTCAATCACCTCACACTCGTTCGTGAGAAGGTTACCGTCCAAGTCCTTGCACATCTCGGCTATTTAGCTTCTCGTAGAACTTCCGTGTGTCACCTCGTGATCTCGGTCTTCCTGCTGACGCTTCTTCCTTCGGAAAACCGAGTTTTGTCTGTTCCGCGCTTGTCTGTATCGCTCCACATTCAATCTCGTGCGGTGTTGCAGCATTCTCGCCCGTGCTGCATTCTTCTCCTCTACTAACAGTTTGCATTCGCCGTCAAACCAGTCATTTCTTAGGTCCGGGATCGCAGTACCTAGTGCCGCTGCAGCAGTACTACCTACGGCGGAACGGATGTCCCTCCAGCCATCTTCAAGAGAAACTGCGCCAAGCTGCTCTTCCGTGGGTAGTGCAACTTCCAGCTGCTGCGTGTAGTCCTGGGCAACTCCGGCGTCCCGTAATTGCTCAATGTTGGGTCGCGGCGTCCGACTTCGACGGGTGTTATGCATCGTCGAGAGTTTTGAGCACATGCATACTTATTTATTTATTAGTCGTCAATCAGTGTAGACCGTTTTACAGTTTTACTTAAACGCTAATTGTTACAATTTTACTTCAATTACTTGCATAGCATTTATATTTTATTATTGATGCCTAGCTAACCTCGTGAAGAAAGTTTTTTTAAGCGTACTTTTATTCATTGTTATGTCAATATATTCACAGTATGTATTATAGCAAGACATCATTCTATTCAATGGGCTGTTTTTGGCATAGTCTGTTCTTTGATTGTTGATGCTAAACAAATTTCTATTCCGCAGTGAGCGAGTGGGAGCATAAAAATTGATATTTTCCAAAATCTCTGGACTGTTAACTCTTTGCGAAATCACATCGTTTATAAAAGCAATCATTGCGAACTCTCTTCGCTTTTTGAGCTCATCTAAATTAATTAGCATACAACGCGATTCATAAGATGGAAGTGGAAAACTCGTCCAACCCAACTTTCTTAGAGCGAACAACAAGAACTGCTTTTGAACTGATTCAATGCGGTTTACATGTGTATCATGATATGGAGCCCAAACTATGCTACAATATTCGAGAAGAGGCCTCACATATGCTACGTAAAGTGTTTTGATTGTGTAGGGATCATTGAAGTGCAAACTAAATCTTTTAATGAACCCGAGCATGTTGCTTGCTTTGTAGATAATGTTATTGTAGTGATCAGCAAAAGTTAACTTGGAGTCGAGGATAACACCTAAGTCTCTGACTTGATAGGATCTTTGGATTGTTTTCTGGCCAAGAGTAATTGTGTCGTGTATTACAGCTTGCTTTCTTGTGAACGATATAGAATTGCATTTATTAATATTTAGTTCTAACAAATTTTTCTTACACCATGTGTAAAAAACGTCAATTTCTTGTTGAAATATTTGAAGATCAGGTGCTTTAGATATCTCCATGAAAAGTTTCATGTCATCAGCATATATAGAAACATGAAGAAATTTAAAAATATGTTCTATATCGTTGACAAATAAAATAAACAGTAATGGACCAAGATGTGAACCTTGTGGCACACCAGATGTTACATTAACTATGGTGGACAGATTTCCTTCAAATCTTACCTTTTGCGTCCGCCTTGATAAGTACGACTCGATCCATTTCAGTAGCCTAGGACTGAAGCCTAATTTGGATAGCTTAAAAAGCAAGAGTGGTATATCAACTCTGTCAAATGCTTTACTGAAATCAGTATATAGCGTTTCTACATAATTTCCTTTATCCATTGAGTTTAAACAGTATGACACAAAATGTATCAAGTTGGTAGTTGTAGATCGTCCTTTAACAAATCCGTGCTGTTTGCTAGTAATTACCGACCTAATCTGTAAGAATACATTGTCATTAATGATGGATACTGCAACTAGGTAGTGGTCCGAATCTATGTTCGCACTGCGGTACGTGCGGACGTTGATAATGTCGGAGAAGTATTTCCCGTCGATTAGAACGTGATCGATTTGGTTTTCTGTGTGTTGGTCCATCCTTGCGGGAGGAAAAAGATACTTCGAACCATCATACCCCGAGAGGCTGCAAAGTTCACGTATCGTTGGCCGCTGTCGTTCGATACGACATGCAGGCTGTTTGGCCCGATTGCCGGTCATTGCCCACGTCCTACCTGCGCGTTCATATCGCCGATGACGATTTTGACGTCCCGTTGCGAACAGCCGTCGTACACCTGCTGCAGCTTCTTTCTCGTCGTCGGGTCTCCCTTCGTGTGGGCAGTGCACGTTGATGATGCTGTAGTTAAAGAAACGGCCCTTAATCCTCAACTTGCACATCCTCGCGTTGATCGGCTGCCAACCAATCACGCGTTGGTGCATCTTACCCAACACTACAAAGCCGGTTCCCAGCTCGTTGTTGGTGCCACAGCTCTGGTAGAAAGTAGCCGCTCGATGCCCGCTTTTCCATACCTTTTGTCCCGTCCAGCAAAGTTCCTGCAATGCTATGACTTCGAAGTTGCGTGGTTGAAGTTCGTCATAGATTAACCTACCGCAGCCCGGGAAGCTGAGCGATTTGCAGTTCCATGTTCCGAGTTTCCAATCGTAGTCCTTATTTCGTCGCGTAGGTCTGTGCCGATTGTTCCGATTCGTATTTCTTTCTTCAGTATTTGCAACTTTATGTTTTTCCAGGGCGGCTTGTTGGGCCTGCCCCAACCCCCTGTCTCTCCGGGGGACCATCGTGCACAGCTCTGTTTAGAGTCCCATGCTGGCACTAGGACGGTGATCAGCCGCTCCTAACCTTTGTGAACAGACGCCGTTTTGAGCCGCACCTCCATGATGAACAGACGCTCAGGTTTGGTGAAGCATTTCCTCTATCACCGTACTATGGTTACCGCGCCAGTGTTCGCATCGCACCTCTTCACTTTGCTATTGCCGGACTGGCAACATTGCCCAGGCTACGCCACCCAGCTGTGCCCATGTTTCAGCTGGTAGTCTTTTGTTATCATATGACTCGGGGAGGCGTGAAGTAGGAACTTGTGAGGACCAGAGCTAGGTATTCCGCTCCTTCCAGGTTGTCAACTCACCATTTTGAAGACCTTTTTTTCGTAGGCAGCATAAAAACGTGATCACATATCAATCTAAGCGGGCCCAGAGCGTGGGCCCGTGTCTATGCTTGCAATGGCTAGTTGTTATTAGTAGAGATAGGGGTGTCACCTCCTTGAGTACAACAGATTTGCTATGCGGTGAAATACACCAAGAACATGAAGGCTCCCGGGTTTGACGGCATATTCAACTTAATCTTAAAGAGGCTCAGCATGAAGTGCAGTCTCTTTTGACCGCTATCGTCAACAGATGCTTGGAGCTGCACTACTTTCCAAGCATCTGGTAGGTAGCAAAAATTATACCAATCCGCAAACCCGGTAAGGATCCAACATTGTCTTCAAGCTACAGACCAATGAGCGCTGAGCAAATTGTTTGCGAATCTCATTCTCAATCGTTTGCTCAAGTTTGTCGAGGAAAGCAACATTCTCCTTCCGGAACAGCTTGGGTTCAGAAAAGTGGCATTCCAGCGGCGCCGGTGGTGTAGTGGTAACCGTGATTGCCTCTCACCTCAAAAGGCCTGGGTTCAATACCATTTAGCGTCGCCATTAAACAACAACCTCATTAAAATTGATTAGGCGTTCTAAAACAGCTTTACAATAATTTAATAAATGCTTAACAAACATAACTGGGAGCAATGTTCGTTGTGAAGCTGTCAACCTGCCAGTCAAAGAGTTCCATTAACGATTTCAGAACTCCTGATAGGATATAAAATTGGATTGTCTCTGTAATTTAGAAATATTTCTTTAGTATAGATGGCGTGGATAGGTTAGTTTCATTTCCACTGGTTCCGGTATCATCTCTCGGTTTGTGCGATTGACATTCTAATTAGATTCCGTTGTTTACATTTTGCCTTTGTTCGGATTGCCATTGAAAATAGACACAACGTAGAAAGTGAAAGTAAGGAGCAGGTGTTTTTTCTTTTATCCGAGTTACGTCCGAGTAGGAGGAAGAAGAGAGAAACCCGAACCCGAAACTACCTGCATATCCTGACAAGTTCGACAGTGAGTCACCCGTGAGACAACATTTGGTGCCGTGACCAGGATACTCCAGGAAGAATAGTTCCCGTCCCGTTACACGTGTTGCGCATAACCTTGATTTGCGAACACATATGGTTCCCGCCAACGTCGCCGGTAAAATTGCCGCATAGAGATGCCGGACGAAAAGAAGCAGAAAGCAAAGGAGCAGAAGCGGAAAAATGTAGTCGACGCCATGGACAGGATGATCCTGTTCCTTCAGAATTATGATCCCGAACAACATCAAGCTGAAGTTCCTCATAGACTGGAACGCCTGGAGAAGATTTGGGACGCATTCGAAATAGTCCAATCCGATTGCGAAGAGTTGGACGACAGTGAAGAACTTGAAGCGAAGAGTTTGCGGTGCAGAGCCCAGATGGAGGAGAAGTATTTCCAAGCAAAGGCAGGTTTGGTGTCGAGGCTACCACCAGCTGCTTCTGTCGTGCCACGAGCTTCTGCGGCAGTTCGTCACCAACTTTAACCAACGTGAAGCTTCCCACGATCACTCTACCTGAGTTTGATGGAGACTTCAACAACTGGTTAACCTTCCTTGACACCTTCCTGTCCATGATCCACTCGTCCACGGAGATCTCGTTCGTACAGAAGTTCCACTACCTCAGAGCGCCACTGAAGGGAGAAGCTGCCAATCTAATCCAGTCCATTGCAATCACTGCGAACAACTACACCGTCGCCTGGGACACGTTGGTGAAACGTTATTCCAACAAAGCCCTTCTGCGAAAGAAACACATCCGTGCTCTACTGAAGTACGTTAACCAGTCCGTCGAAGCCCTGCATAAGGTCGTGGATGAATTCCAACGACATACCAAGATTTTGGAGCAACTTGGGGAGCCCGACGAGCATTTCAGTTCCATCCTAATGGAGCTGTTGGAGGACAAACTAGACGATGCCTCTCTCACTGTGTGGGAAGAATCTATTGCTACTGACAATGAACCCACCTTCACAAAGATGATTGAGTTCCTCCAAAGGCGAGCGCGCATATTGGAGACGATCTCGATCAACCGTCCACACCACAACCAGATGAAGTCAATGAGTCAGTCTTCTGCCTTAAAGCGTCCCAGTCACCCTCGCGTGAGTACTAACGCAGCTACTGAAGCCTTGCCGAAAGCATTTCCGCTGTGCCCTGCCTGCGAGAAGCAGAAACATTCGTTGTACGACTGCCCCGCTTTCAACAGCATGGATCCCAAGAATCGTTTAAAGGTCATAACAGAGAAGAAGTTGTGCAGCGATCATTTTGCTCGCGCGTGTCGATCGAAGTACAGCTGCAAGCAATGTTCGAAACGCCACCACTCTATGATTCACCCCGGACCATATGAACTCAATTCGACGATCACCGAAGATAATACCGCATCACGATCATCCATAGCTGTAACTGCCAATCCAGGTCCTTCGAACGTTCTCACTGTCGTTTCTTCTGGTCCCAACGACGGGCCCCCGTCTACGAAGGCTGTATTCCAATCAGCTAGCGTTCTTCTGATCACAGTAGTAGTGATCGTAGTAGACGCTTACGGTCAAGAACACGTCGCCCGTGCCTTGTTGGATACTGGATCCCAGCCGAATGCGATTAGCGAACGACTTTGCCAGCCACTTCACCTGAGCCCTAGGTCCGTCAACGTGCCAATCGCTGGCGTAGATGGGGCTGTTACGAGCGCCAAGCACGGAGTGTCTGCCGAAGTTCGATCACGCGTGTCCGACTTCCGTGAAGTACTTGATTTCCTGGTGTTGCAGAAAGTGACCAGTGACACTCCATCCGTACCATTCAATGCGGCTGAATTGAAGCTTCCCGACGATCTAATTCTAGCCGATCCCGACTTTGGCACTCCTAGAAGGGTAGATATGATTATTGGTGCTGCTCACTTCTACTCTTTCTTGCGGAATGGCCGGTTCCATCTCCCAAGTCTTCTGTTCGTCGAAACCGTATTTGGGTGGATTGCGTCTGGAAACATCGATGAGTCCCGCGAGCATTCCCAGCAGCCGACAACAGCTTGTCATGCGGCGACAGTTGTACCAGTCGATGAACTGCTGCAGCGATTTTGGCAGATTGAAGATGTAAGCGGCTCAAACTACTCGGTCGACGAGCAAAAATGTGAAAATTTCTACCAGGAGACTATTTCCCGTGATCCCTCCGGACGATATGTTGTTCGAATGCCCAAGCATCCCGAATGCGATCAGATGATCGGTGAATCAAAGGCCAATGCGCTGCGACGTTTGAAGTGGTTGGACAATAGACTGGAGAAGGATGAAGAACTGAAGACACAGTATCACGCTTTCATGGACGAGTACATCAGTCTCGGCCATATGGTTCCCGCTCTTGATGACGACGAGAATAGTTCAACCAGTTGCTATCTTCCGCACCATCCCGTGGTAAAGCAATCGAGCACGACGACCAAGGTTCGAGTTGTGTTCGATGGCTCAGCAAAAACTAGCACCGGGCATTCTCTCAACGATGCGCTGCTAGTTGGGCCAGTGGTTCAGGACGACATTCTGGACATCTTTTCAGCTTATATATCATCTGGTTATTGCGAGGAAATAACCGGTATAACACGTTTATTAAGCAATAAAACCACATAACTAGAATGCTCTAATAAGAGTTGTAGTTGAATAACGTGTGCAGTGCCAGTAATTGAAAGTGGTTTTCATGATCGTGTTAAACTCAATAGATAGTGTTGCACAATTGAAGTATTTTTGGAGTGTAATGCTTTTATTCCACGTTCTATACAGCTCTTGTCAATCGGTTTAACTGAAGTGCTATAAAAGGTATCGTAGGTCTAATATAGTTAAACTGAACACAAACAATCATTTGAAAGTGCTCTCAATTGTTTGTTGGTTAGATCAAAAACTCTATTTGGAAATCAAATTGAATAGGGTTTTTGATCTAATTTCCATCCTAATAAGCACAACCCTCGCTTTGCCTCTCTTTCCTGAACGAGTTTAAACAAAAAATGGAATATTTCTGTCAAAGATAAATTTATTCACCTTTCCATACGTACCAAAACAAAATAAGACCTAAAACAGACCCCGTATGGAGCAGTGTAACGATGTGTTGATGTGGCATATCGACAAATGTTGCCCAAGTTTGTCATAATGGATCAATAATATCTTATTGATTGCATGACGCTTTGCTACTCTCCAATGCCAAGTATCCGTGATCTAATCATTTCATGTTTGTGTACTGTATGTAACATGTTTGCTTTGGAAGTTTTCCGGTATCGAATTCCATCGTTATAATAATCCTCGCTTGTTTGCTGTTCTCCTATGTACGTGTACTCAATACGACAAACCGATCGAACGCCCATCAACGACGACATCAAACAAGCCGTGAATGTCACCCTCACAAAGACCCCAGTCATAATTTCGTAAATATTTGCCATTCCCTCTGAATGTTATTTCTTTTCTAACACCGGCATCAATCAAATATTTGACCAGAAGCATCCCTCCTTTGTTGCCTTTGCTGCTCCATCAGCTTTGACTTCGTCTTTGGTCTCCCAAACTATGGAGTACCAGCAGAACAACCAAACAACCTCCGTTACGCCTCGCAGCAACACATCACAGTTTCGGGATCTGTTTGTAATAGGCTCAGTCAATATTTGCCCATCGATAGCGCTCGCTTTCCCCGGAATCCTCGTCGAATGGGGCGCTTCGGTATTTGAGTTACATATCCCACCATCCTTTGGCGCCGAAACAGACGGGTTCAACTTCCGGGTGGAAAAGTTTTTTTTTTCGAACATAAACAACGAGTAACACATAGGGTAGAACATTCATCCCATAGAATTGTTGTTTTAATTCCACGTGAGTATCCACTTTGATTCCAATTAACTCACTAGCGGCTGTGCGGGCAGACGGACACTTCAAGCATGACTTAAAGCTCCGTATCGGCTCTCAAATGGTAGCTTTAAACGTTTAACCGATTGGCGCTCGAGAAAATGTTCCACAGGATATTAAAAATATTTCCTCACTTACCCGTCTAGCGAATTTGGGAAAAGTTTAGAACCAAAACGCACTGAAGCGTTTTCGAAAAGTGCGCAAAAAATGCTAAGGAAATTGAATTCTTCTTCCCGTTTCATCTTCCTGCCTTCAGCCAGTGGTAAGCTCCCACCTCGTAATAGAAAATAACCGTTCTGCAACGTGTTGAATACTTACACACTGTTTATTCACCCCTGCAACTTTCCAAAAGCATAAGCTTTCCACGAGATCTTGTAAACCGTTTCCCCCAACGAAGGCCGGAATTCCCAACAGCCAAAGTGTTTATAGAGAAGAAATAATTTTTTAATGAAAAATTGATTGAGGGAAAAAGTTTCCCCGTGGTTCGGGGCCAAGAATGCCACCCCACCCCATCGCATCGTCGCATTGTACCGGCTGAGATTCGCGCTTCATTACAGCTGTTTCGTTTGGATTCAATTTCATTTCGATTCTTCTGTCTGCCTGGTCCGCCTGCCCCCCCCTCATCTGACGACTTCTTAGACCTACACTCCTGTTTTTCACTTCCATCGGAGTTCTATATTGCGGAACATCTTTTCGCCCGGAGCTGCAATCGTTATCTTTTGGAGGAAGTTGGAGGGAGTTCGGCAGCAGGGGAATCGCAGAACGGAAGTGAGCGATTCAATCCGGGATGAAAGGAGATGTTTGGAATTAATTTTCTATGACAAGGTAACAAGTTGATTCGGTGTGTTTGTTCCGAATTGATTGGAAAGTGTTTGATGGGTTTGGTGTTGGTGGGATTCAAGTTTAAGAAAGGCAGGATCACTATGTCACAACCTCAGATAGCCTAGTCAGTTAAGGTATGGTATTACCAAACCAAAGGTGGCGGGTTCGATTAATTCCGATGTGGAAAATGTGTCTTGACTTTCCTGGGCATAGAGTATCACTGTGCTTGCCGTACAATACACAAATTCATGCAGTCAAGTCTAACACTAGACTTTAAAAAAACACAAATTTTCATAAAAAAAAAACTAAAAGTTTTAAAAACATTGCACAAATGCATTCTTATGAAATTAAAACTTATGTTATGTAAGAGTGAATTTATCAATCATATGTGATGCAATCAATGGTTTGGTGAAACACCATTAATTTATGCACTGCGTTCGCATATGCCGGTTGCTTGCTGTGCTCTTTTGGACGGTTTTAACTTTTACGGGTTCACACAAGCGAATACTTTTCCGAACCGAAATGGGCGTTTGCTAGATCTTGTCCTGGCAAATGATCCCGCATTACCGGGCACTTCTATTTCCTTGCCGGTCGAGCCACTGATTGATCTAGATGCCGATTATCCCGCTCTCGTCGTGTCATTTAGTTTACCTTCGCCGACTGTTTTTACGCCGTCATCTGAGTGCTACTCTTTAGACTTTCGCCGAGCTGATTGTGTTATGGAAACAGCCAAATGACGCTGTGGATTTTTTCAGTGCTGCACTGGAAGAAGCTATTTTCTGCATTGTCCCAGCACGACGACTCCCGCAAAAGCCTCCATGGTCTAACCCACGCTTACGCGTGCTAAAACGTCAACAATCTGCCGCCATCCGAAAGTATTGTAACTCTCGCTCACCGTACTACAAACGACTGTTCAATTTTGCGAGTCGTAGTAATCGAAATTACAATCGTTTTCTCTATAATCGACACGTGAGACGCACGGAAGCGAACCTTCGAACGAATCCGAAAATTTTTTGGTCGTTTGTCAACTCTAAACGGAAGGAATCTGGGTTGCCTTGTTCCATGTTTCTCGGGAATGACTCGGCTAATAGCGAAAGGGAAAAAGGCGACTTGTTTGCTAGTCATTTCAAACAAGAGAAACAAATTTCAATAATTATTTCTTGTGTAAAATTTGCACCATTCTGATGATTGGAGCGAAGCTGCTTTACTGAAAATGTATGATGAAAAATCCGAAATATGAGCAAGCTTTATTTGCTGAAAAACCTGCAGCATTCTGATGATAGGAGAAGCTAGCTATATTGAAAATGTCTGCTAGAAAATGGAAAAACGAAATCTGCACGAATCACAAGATTGGAGAAGCAATTTTTATTGAACACTAGCTGAGTGTGCCAGGCCTTGCTCAATATTCAATATTAGCATGAGTTTATGCACCAATTTAAAAAAAAAGCATGCTATATTTTACGTACCCCTCCCCCCCTCTTATCTATAGGCGCTACCCCCTATGACCTCCACATGCCAAATTTGGTTCCATTTGCTTGATTAGTTCTCGAGTTATGCAGAAATTTTTGTTTCATTTGTATGGGAGCCCCCCTTTACAGAGGGGGAGGGGTCTCGAACCATCATAAGAACCTTTCCCTGCCCCAAAAACCCTGCATACAAATTTTCACGCCGGTCGGTTCAGTATTTTCCGAGTCTATAAAAGTCAGACAGACCGACAGAAATTCAGTTTTATATATAGATAGATTAACGGTGGAAAATGTATACCATTCTGGCCAATGTAATTTTCTGTCAAGTTTGTATTGAAAATTTCTGGTGTAAGATTTACAACAATCTGCTGCGAGGAGGGGCAAGCTGAATTGAAAATTACTGATGTAAAAATTGCACAGTTCTGGTGAATGTAGGGGCAAGCTTTATTGAACATTTCTGGTAGAAAAACTTCAACGTTTTGGTGAATGGACGGACAACTTAAACTTGACTTCCGAGAAGAAACTCATGGGGATGATTCCATGATTATTCTGCGAATAATTTCTAGTGCATCCTGCAGATAGTTCCAAGATAATTCCGAAAAGAATACCGAGAAAATCCAATTTTGTGTGAAATTCCAAAGGGATTTTAAGCAAAATTTCAAGCGAATTCCGAGGATAACTTCTAGCTCATTCCGGGAAAAAATTCTGAAATTCTAAAGAAATTTCAGTTCCAAAGTGTTCTGAGAAAAAAATCATGAAGAGTTCTAAGTATAATTCCAGTGGACTTCTGAAATGAATTTCAAAAGAGCTCTTAGGAGAGTTCTAAAAAAACCCAAGAAGAACCTCAAGGATATTGAATTCTGAAGACAGTTCCAAAGGATTCCTTGGGAGTATTCCAAAAAAATTCTGCGAATAATTTCTAGTGCATCCTGCAGATAGTTCCAAGATAATTCCGAAAAGAATACCAGGAAAATTAAATTTTGAGTGAAATTCCAAAGGGATGTTGAGGAAAATTTTTAGGACGTACCGCTCGTTTCGGGAATAATTTCTGTATGATACTGAGGAAATTCTTCTGAAACTCTAAGGGAATTTCAGTTCCAAAGTGTTCTGAGTAAAAGTCAAGAACAGTTCTAAAAATAATTCCAGAGAATAATTTCTGAGAATAATTTCAATAGAGCTCATAGAGCTCTAAAAATTTCGAATAAACCCTCAAGGAATTCTGAGGATGAACTTTTTCGCAACTGTATAAAGTTTAAAGACAACTTTTGGATTCCCTGCACACTTTTATTAAGAAACACTAACTAACTACTTTATTTGATATTACACTTGGTTGCACTATGTCTGTTCACTTCGGTGGTCGGTAGGCAAAGAGGACGAGAACACATCTCGTACTGCGTACAACCTTATTTGCTATAATCATTATGGCTACTTATGAAAATAGTTGACATGTCTTGTCTTTCAAGCCAGCAATAAACCTAGGGATACATCATCTCTCCCACCATAAACAGCTTTTACACTACTGAACATATCAGAACTATTTCTTACATATTATAATGAAAATACTTTTCAAGTTAAACAAGATTACAATACTTCTAGATGGATTGATCACTACTTGAGTGCAATGTCGACATCAACCAATGGATCATTGAAGATGCTGAGGTTTTGACAGCACCGTACTGTGGCTATCACAGTATTTTACATTGGTTCGTCCGTATACAGTAGCGCCAAATGAAAGCTGTGGTGGGTTCAAAACTCAACCATCTAAAATGATCCATTATAGATAATACTTGAGTCTTGGCTGACCTTTGAGTCGATTTGATCGACGCACTTTTGGCGATTTTGACCCACTACGTCGACGCTTGTTAGATTTCTTCTTCTTTGTTTTTCTAGTTGATGGATTTTGTTGAACGGTCTGAGCGTGGTCTCGACTACCACCGGCAGGTGGAGGCGAACCAGCCCAAGGCTGAAAGCCTCCCTAATAAAGATAAATTAATTAATTACCACCGGCAGATGGCGGTACGGGTTGATCGACTGGACTGGTGTCTACGCTATCTTTGTCGACCTGACTGGATTGTATGACAGGAATTGAAGGATGGAATTCATCTGACAGATTTGAAAAACAAATTTGATTCACATGAATCATTCGCACATTTCCATTAATGCTTATCAGGTAAGTTAATGGACTAATCTTTTGCAGAACAATTGCAGGTATCCAACGGACGAGTTCTTTAAAGTGGTTCCGATACAGTACTTTGTCACCGACGTTATACTTTACCGTGGATTTCGATGGTTCCAAGAATTCGTGTGCCATTGGCTCTTTTGGTTTAACAGCAGGTTTAGTATGCGTACTCTCAATCAGGGTTCCTTCCATTAATTTCGGCTAAAAAAATGTTTTATTAAATTATGGAATAGTAAGATATTATGATAATAATTGGTTTGCGTAAGCAACAAGACAAGATTGTAAAGTTTGTGTTTGACACATAAAACTTGCAAATTTAGCTTTGACAGAGTCACAATGAGTGGTTTTCTGATCGCCTTTTCGCGAAGAGTGAAGAGCGAAGAGTGGGTGAGATAAATGACAAAATCGCTCATTGCGACTCTCATGTAGCAAAATTGGCAGGTATTATGTGTCAAACACAAACTTTACAATATTTTCTTGTTGCTTACGCAAACAAAATGTTATCATAATATCTTATTATTCCATAATTTATTAAACAATTTTTTTGCCGAAATGAATGGAAGGAACCCTGCTCTCAATTTCTTTCGCGGATTGACAATCACCCCTATTCCGTATTTCGTTTCGAACGAAATTCTCATACAAAAAAATATTTTTGACGTAGGACTACGTCTTTGATTTCTATATGGGGGTACACTTTGTGAAAACTGAAAATGGAACATGTAACAAGTTATGAAAGATTTTGAACGTTAATAACTCAGCTACCCCTGAACCAATGTCAATAATTTTATCACCAATCGATCAGGGCTACGCTTACGCATCGATATCAATGCTTTTAACTGTTTATGTTCAACAAGAAACTATTGAAAAAGTAGTAAATGTCAAGCATTGTCCAAAAGCGTCGAAATAATTAACAAATCCATCAATTACGTACATGCATATGCTGCTTCCCCAGCACAGTCGTCAGAGAGTAGTAAGTAGACGAAACATGTCGATAAAGCATTACGACGAGGTTCGGTAGTTCAGTGGTTACCGTTTCTGCTTACTGAGCAGAAGGTAGGGAGTTCAATCCCCCCCCCCCTTGCAATGTTTCACTTTGCCTTATTCTATCCCAACTAGATTTAAATAAAGAACAAATTCTGCTTTAACCAATCGCATAACTTACCACAGTGATTCCTAATCTAAAAATAACCTACCTCACTTACACTACTATTCTTCCCGAGATAGCCGTGGAGATGTAGAGGTATTCTCAGTCTCTAGTAACAACCGGACGTCGAACTAATCATCCTTCCCTCCCAAAAGACCGGAAGGACGTGGCCGGCGCTGTGAATTGATCTACATAATGAATTAATGTGCAATTTTTAGATCAGGATTCACTGTGATTCTATCAGTTGTAAGCAGCAGAAATTTCCTTCCCAACTCTCTTGTGGAATCTTTTAGTGGCTCTGAAAAGGACCGGTTTTGATAGATTTCGACGGAGAAAATAAGAGCGTTCACCACAAATACGAAGAGCCAGCTGAATGTCCTTTGGCATAATTGTGACACGCTTGGCGTGAATGGCGAACAGACCGACCACCACTTATTTCACTCATCGAGGGTATACTTATACCTGCGTCGAGTAGCATATTATTAATACAGGGAGGGTACAATACATACAGTGGGAAGCAAAATACTGAAAAGGGGAGGAGTTTCGCTTCTTATGCTACGGGCACAAAACGAGACACCACCGTCGAAACGACTATCTGTTTTTCTCTACCGAAGCGAACAGCTAAATTAAGGCATCGAAAACCAGTGGAAAGGCCGCCAAGAAGTCCGGAAAGGCGCAGAAAGTCATCGTCAAGGGAGAGAAGAAGAAGAGGAGACAGCGCAGGAAAGAAAGCTATGCCATCTACATCTACAAGGTGTTGAAGCAGGTCCACCCGGACACCGGAGTCTCGTCGAAGGCCATGAGCATCATGAACAGCTTCGTCAATGACATCTTCGAACGTATTGCTGCTGAGTCGTTCCGTCTGGCTCAATACAACAAACGCTCGACGATCACCTCCCGCGAAATCCAAACTGCTGTCCATCTGCTTCTGCCGGGTGAGTTGGCCAAGCACGCTGTCTCTCAAGGAACCAAGGCCGTTACCAAGTACACTAGCTCCAAGTATATTCGTACCATCCAAACAATCAATCGGCCCTTTTCAGGGCCACAAATTGATTTCCAACGTGAAAGAGGTTTAACGTTAACTTTTAAATGTTCGAAAGCAGCGTTAGCAAAGTTCGCGATTAGAAATCAGTTGATTTGCCTTACGAAAATAATGTTGACAAAAAGAATAAGAGGTTGCATCCATGACACGACCGTACGGTTTTGACGTAGGACGTCTGTGATTTATATATGGAGGTACACATTGTGAAAACCGAATATGGATGAATTAATGGATCATTGAAGATGCTGAGGTTTTGACAGCACCGTACTGTGGCTACCACAGTATTTTACATTGGTTCGTCCGTATACAGTAGCGCCAAATGAAAGCTGTGGTGGGTTCAAAACTCAGCCATCTAAAATGATCCATTGTGACACGCTTGGCATGGATGGCGAACAGACCGACCAGATAGGTCTCGCTGAATTCCTGTAGGGCCATTACCGGCCGAGCTCTGGAAGCGCATATCGGTCTTGAAGTCCTGGGCGATTTCACGGACCAGACGCTTGAAAGGCAACTTGCAGTCAGCAGCTCAGTCGATTTCTGGTAACGACGGATCTCACGCAGAGCGACAGTTCCTGGCCGGTAGCGATGACACTTCTTCACTCCTCCATCTGTTTGAGAGGAGCTTTTCCTCCGGTGGACTTACGAGCAGTCTGCTTGATGCGGCCATTATACGATGTGGATACGTTGAATACAAATTTTAATTACCCAGCACAATCATGGGCATTGGCTCCAAACGAGGGGGACGACTCTATCTACGTTGCAGGAAAGATTATGTTTTGCTGTGGCTGGCTGCATGCACGCTGAATAGATAGAAAGAAGATTAATGACGATTCTGAAGATTTCCTGCAAAAAGATGCAAGTAGATGCAAGTAGATGCGAGAACTGAAAGAAGAGTTTTCGAAGATTGATTCGCTAATGTGAAATTTTTTGAGCATCTAGTATTGATATTTCGATGTGTCGCCCCCCTCGGCTCCAAACAATATTTCACCAGATTCAAGACAAATCTGTACGATAGTAAATAGAACAGAAAATGAAAATATGAAAATGAGGTAGGGAAAATAATTAAAATATGGTTCAGATTAAAACCTAGCTGCATAAAAATACACATTACCATTTATTATATAAGACCACGTAGTCCTACGTCACCATTGCGTACAACCCCATAGGGCTGTCCCTTGTAGTTTTTTGTATGAGAATTTCTCTCGAAATGAAATACAGAATAGGGGTGAATATTACTCAGCGTTCGCGGCGTATACGTGAAAAGCATTAGGGGTATTCACTATGCGCATTGTAAACATATACACTATCGTAAAAATACCATGGTCAATTGGAGTGTAATGGAAGTTTACACATTTACGAAGGTGTATACGTTTACGATGCGCTTTGTGAATACCCCTATTGATGAAGGTGTTCGGTTTGTTATAGTTGACGGAGTGTTTCGGTAATTGATTAAGAATCGATTGATCTTACGTTCAAGAGACAACGGTTTGCATTTTTCGTCAAGCAAATATTTCTTAAGAACGTCTTTGGCTGTTCTTACTCCCCTCTCGGCCAACCCGTTCGATTGGGGGTGATAGGGAGGTGATTTTAAAACTTTAACACCATTCGCTTCCAAAAATGCGACATAATATTCTGAATTGAACGGAGGGCCATTATCCGTAACTACCTCCTCAGCAATTCCAAAGTACGCAAAAAAGGATTCAACTTGTTCAATAAGTTGAATACTGTTACTTGATTTAATTACGCGAACGTCAATAAATTTAGTAAATGCATCTACTAATATTAAAGCAGTATTGCCTTCAAAATATAATAGGTCCATATGGATGCGTTGGAAAGGACGGTCGCACATTTTCCAAGTAGATTTGACACTTTCAGGAGGAACTGCTTGGCGTTGCTGACACACATCACACTTTTTGATAAAAGTATTCAAATCAGTATCGAAATTTTTCCACCAAACATACATGCGCCCTAACATTTTCATACGGACAACCCCATCATGATTGGAATGCAACTGATTAATAACAGTCGACTTAAGGTTATCAGGGACAACAACCCTGTCGTCAAAATACAAAACATTCTCGATTCCAAAGTGAGAATTCAAATTCAAATATGGTTTTAAACTTGGATCAACGCGTTGTGTTCAACCTGATTTGAGAATTTCAAAAAGTTTTGACAAAATAGGATCACATTTCTGATTTTTTCGAATAATTTCTAGGTTTACAACACTAGGAGCACCGGATAACCCTTTAATTCCGAGACTTACGTGTTCTATATCGGTTTCCTCAGGCAAGGGAAGCCGTGAGAGTGCATCTGCATGATTCATCAGTCTACCAGGACGATGCTCGATCACATAATTGTATCCAGCAACAATTAGGCCCCACCGTTGTAAACGTGCTGCTGCAATTGTCGAAGTACCCTTGGATGGATTAAAAATTTCTTTAATCCCACTATTGTCCGTTATCAACGTAAATTTGGTACCGGATAAGTACTTATGGAACTTTGTAATTCCAAAAAGGACAGCTAATGCTTCTTTATGCACCTGAGCATAGTTTACCTGAGCAGGTGTTAGAGTCGATGATGCAAAACAGACGGGTTTTTCAACATTATCGACTTGATGTGATAAAACTGCTCCGTCACCATTTGGACTGGCATCGACAGCAAGAACGATTGGCTCAGACGGGTCATATAGTTCGAGAAGATCATGTTGAAGCAGTAAGGACTTCGTACTCTCGAATGCTTCCCGGCACTCTGGAGTCCAAACAAAATGGCTGTTTTACGGAGCAATTTGTATAGGGGGCGAAGTTCTATCGATAGATTAGGAAGGAATCTATGATAATAATTAAGTAGCCCGAGATATGCTTGCAGCTGAGAAACATTTTCAGGTGCGGGGGCATCAATTATTGCTTTTACCTTAGACTCGCTAGGGCGTATACCTTCCGACGTGATGGTATAACCTAAATAATCGATCTTCGACTTGAAAAAATTAGATTTTGTCAAATAAATCTTAACATTATGATTGTTTAGCTTCTCAAGAACGTGGTATAGATTTATTCTACAATCATCCACGTCTTTTCCACCAACAATAATATCATCCAGGTAAGCTATTCCTGGGGAATTGATCAGAATTTGATCAATTATCGATTGAAAGATCGCAGGGCCGGATGTAATCCCAAAAGGCATCCTGGTATAGCGAAAAAGACCTCGATGGGTATTTATGGTACAAATACCCTGTGACGCATCAGACAATTTAAGTTGTAAGTAGGCTCCAGACAAATCAATTTTACAGAAAACTTTCCAGGTAGCCACCTTAGCCAAAATCTCATCTATTCTGGGTAGAGGGTAGTGTTCAGCGGTTATGTAACGGTTTAGCGTGGCTTTACCGTCCAAACAAATACGCAATGATCCATCTTTCTTTGGGACAACCACGATTGGACTTGCCCAAGAAGATGATCGAACTGGAATCAATATGCCTTCCGCAACTAAATTTTCTAAACCCTGCTTAACTTTCTCGCGAAGAAAAACGGAACTCCGTATGCCTTGTGAAACACTGGCGTAGCGTTAGGTTTTAGAACAAGTTCCGCGGAATAACCGCTAATCGCGTCTTTATCAGTGTCGGACACTACTTTCGGAAATCGCGTTTGAAGCTCGGACTCAAAAGAAGGTTCTAAACTACTCACGGACTCAACTCAAAAGAATTTTTCTCCAATCCGGGTACATTCAATCCAGACCGTCTCGACCCAGTAGCGGACTCATTTCCTTGTCGGTTGGAATCACGATCAGGTTCAACCTGCCGTGGACTCCTGACGGCCCGATAACACGGACAGTGACGATGCCTTCCGGTTGAATGCGTTGACCTGAAACAGAGATGAACTTCTGAGAAGTAGGAACTAATAGACAATTCGAGAAAAATCTATGATACGTATCGGACGAGATTACGCTTCTGCAAGCTCCACAATCAGCTTCGAATTCTAGACGGTGACCTTCACAGTCCAGCGACACAAATTCTGGCAAATTGATTCGGTTTAATGACTTCGAACTACCGTTGCTTGAAGAGGGCAGTTCACTGACACTCGGCCCCAAGATAGCTAGACTGCTACTCCTTGAAACACATGTTGCTTGCATTTTACTGACTATGACGTGTAACTCGTTGGATTCATCTGGCTCATCAACTACGGCCAGGAGATTTAGACGGAGTACTTCCACTTCATCTGACATTTCTGCTACGCGATTGTTTCCACTGGTTTTCTTTGACAGACGACTTTTTGCTAGACAGCTTGTAGAGACATGGCCTTGCTTTCCACACGTATAGCAAGTCCAATTGCGTGCTGTGCACGTGGCTGGGTCATGATGCCGACTGCAGCGATAACATGGCCTGCCGAACTTCTGCGAAGGGTGACTGTTTGACTTATTTTGCTCCTTTTCCTGCTGGTGCGATCTGTTTTTCAGCTTTTTCCCTCCTTCCTTCTGGAACGTTGCAAACTTTGGAGACGACTGACTTGACATTTCTTTGTTTTGGCACAAAGCTGCTTCCCAACACCTGGCAATCGAGCATGCCTTCTCAAACGTTAGGTCAGCTTCAGTAAGCAGCTTTTTTCGCAGCCCTTGATCGGTAATTCCAGCGACAAACTGATCTCGCAATGCATCGGTAAGAAATGCATCATAATTGCATGATGCATGCCACTGCTTTGAGATTGATGATGAAATCGGTGATCGACTGAGTGGCAAGCTGTTCGCACTTCCTAAGCTTGTACCTCTCTGCCACGACGTTTGTGGTTGGAGCGAGGTGTTTTTTTAAGAGAGTGACCAGGACCTCGCATGATTTCAGGCGCGCATAGTCTGACCGCGACCGTATACAGACTAGGGCCCGCAACGGTGATTAACACGGGGACTTTCTTTTCATCTGGCGTGTCGTTCACCAAAAAGAACATGTCCAACCGGTTGAGACATTCTTCGATGT